TACACACATAACAGTCATGGTAATAGTTATAATAATAATAATAATAACGATGATGACCATGATGAAGATGGTCATCATCGTAACAATAGCAATAATAAAATTAATAACAGCAACAACAACAACAACAACAACAACAACAACAACAACAACAACAACAACAACAACAACAACAACAACAGCAACAACAACAACAACAACAACAACAACAACAACAACAGCAATAATAATAACAATAATAACAATAATTTAATTCAATATGATAAAAGCAATCCAATTAACTACGATAATGATGAAGGTGATGACGACGATGACGATGACGATGCCAAAGATGACAATGATATTCATGATAACGATACGGACGACGATGATGATAATGATGCTACCACTACTACTACTACTTTTACTACTACAACAACAACTACTACTACTACTACTACTACTATTACTACTGCTACTACAACTACTACTACTACTACTAACAACAACAACAACAACGACAACAACAACGATAATGATAATAATGATAATTATAATAACAATAATAATAATGATAATAATAATAATAAATATCGAAACGAAATCGGTACGGTTAATAACGCTAGCAAATTAGGCAATTCGGTTAATATTATTGAGAATAAAACCAGCAAAAATACTACTGCTGCTACTACTACTGCTGCTGCTGCTACTACTACTACTACTACTGCTACTACTGCTACTGCTACTACTACTACTATAAATAATAATAATAATAATAATAATAATGGTAGTCGAAAACTTCGTTTATTTCAGCCATATCAGCTCGGCTCTCTCGCTTCAACTGATGACGATCGTCGTCATCATCACCACCACCACCATCATCATCATCCTCAACAGCAACTACAACATCATCATCAGTATCACAATCAACATCATCACCACCCTCATCACCCTCTCCAACTCCAACAACAACAACAACATTTGAGTTATTTGCAACACCAGCAACAACATCCACAAAATTTGTCGGCGTTTCTGGCGACACCCCAACAACTACTACAAATACAGCATAATAATTTTCTGGCTAGATTAACATTCCTGCAACATCATCATCAACAACAACAACAACAGAAACATCAACAACAACAACAAAACATAGAAAAAACACTAGCGATAAAATGTGATGTTGAAAACGACGACGGCGATGGTGACGATGATGATGACGATTACATTATTGTGGAAGGCAAGTGATTTATTGTATGTGTATGTATGTATGTATGTATGTATGTATGTATGTATGTATGTATGTATTTATGTATGTATTTATGTATGTATGTATGTATGTATGTATGTATGTATGTATGTATGTATGTATGTATGTATTTATGTATGTATTTATGTATGTATGTATGTATGTATGTATGTATGTATGTATGTATTTATGTATGTATGTATGTATGTATGTATGTATGTATGTATGTATGTATTTATGTATGTACGCATGTATGTATGTATGTATGCATGTATGTATGTATATATTTATATATGTATGTACGTATGTATGTATGTATGTATGTATGTATGTATGTATGTATGTATGTATGTTTGTTTGTTTGTATGCATGTACATAGATATCATTATCACAAAGTTTATCATCATCTAGATCATCATCACCACCATCATTATCATCATCATCCTCTCACTCTTCGCCATCATCTTCATCATCGTCATCATCATCATCATGACCCTCGCCATCATCAGAGCGTGCAAGTGACATGTATTATAGCATTCTTACTTGATTGAGAGATCTAGGCAATTATAAAGAGTTGTAGTAGTAGTAGTAGTAGTAGTAGTAGTAGTAGTAGTAGTAGTAGTAGCAGTGATAGTAGAAGTAGTGGTTGTGGTAGTAGGGTCAGGGTAGTAGTAGTAGTAGTAGTAGTAGGTAGTAGTAGTAGAAGTAGTAGTAGCAACAGCAGCAGTAGTAGTAGTCGCTACAGAAGCGGTCAAGTAGTAGCTGTACTTGTAAGTAATTTAAAAATTAGAAGTAGTAGTAGAAATAGTATTATTAGTCGTGTTACAGATTTCGTGTATAGTAAAAATCTTTGCATCAGGACCAAAATATTAACTATAACTAACCATAATTAATTGTAATTAACCATAATTAATTATAAATAGCTATAATTAACTATAATTAATTTAATTCATAATTTTAGATATTGCGTCAGAAAACAACATCAACAACAATTCATTTAACCATCGGCTCGTACATACAAACATACGTACATAATTAATTATAATTAGCTATAATTAACTATAATTAATTAAATTCATAATTTTAGATATTGTGTCAGAAAACAACAACAACAACAACAACTACGACAACAACGTCATCACCAAAAACACTAAATCAATGAGAGAGGAAATGGTTAATTTGCAAGCGGAAACACAACAACGGCAGCCATATTTGCATGTCGGACTTCCGGCAGAAGACAAGAAAGATCCTGACGATGATGATGAAGCAGACGACGACTATGATGATGGTAATGATGATGATGATAACGACGACTTTGGAAATAATAATGTTAACAAAAAGACTATTTGATAATGACAATGATGATGACGATGATGATGACGAGGATGATGACGAGGATGATGACGAGGGTGATGACGATGATGATGACGAGGATGATGATAAATGAGACGGACAATAATGACATTGTATTTTATTATGGGAGAAAAATTTGTAAAATAAAATGACACCGATAAACAATAATAATAATAATAGTAATAATAATAATAGTAATAACAATAATAATAATAATAAAAGCCAAAAAATCATTTTTAGTATTTTCGTTCGTTTAACCTATTAAGACAATTTCTATTTGAACGAACTCAAATACATGAAAATAAATAATTAAACAAATACAACTGTATGCATGTCAATCAAATAGTTATAAGTAACTGAACACACACTCTCTACTTCTTTCATCTCTCTCTCTCCCTCTCTCTCCCTCTCTCTCTTCCTTTCTTTCTCTCTCTCTCTCTCTCTCTCTCTCCAGTTCTATAATGTTTCATCTTTAACTTTCTACCTGAATGAAGCATACAGAACGTAAGATAGAAAAAAACAACAAAGTCTTCAAATTGATAGTAACAAAAGAAGTAGTTGTAGTAATCCAAGTGGCGACAAACAGCATTAGTAGTAGTTGAAGTAGTAGTAGTAGTAGTAGTAGTAGTAGAAGCAGCAGAAGTAATTGTAGTAGTAGTAGAAGCAGCAACAGAAATGCAACAGCAGTAGTCGTAGAAACTTCAAAAGAAGCATCAAAAGGAGCATCAAAAGAGGCAGTAGCAGCAGTGGTAGTTGTGGTACTTGAAGCAGTGGTAGTTGAAGCAGTGGTAGTTGTGGTAGTTGAAGCAGTGATAGTTGAAGCAGTGGTAGTTGTGGTAGTTGAAACAGTGGTAGTTGAAGCAGTAGTTGTGGTAC